CCATTATTGCCTTGTTGAAAATAGAATTGGAGCATACACACACCATAGCTACAAAAATATTTATGTACCCACTCAACACACACACACACACATTATAATAAAATCATCATCATAATCTATCATCTCATTTATACACACATTGAAGATAGGGAAAGAGAGAGATAGCACATCATTTTATACAATATTTAGAGAGAGAAACAGCATATAATATATACAATATTTAGAAAGAGAAAGAGAGAGAATATTGATGTGATTGCTTTCTTTTATCTACTAGAAAATTTTTGAACTAATTATATATATATATATACACACCATTGAGGGGGACAATATTGGTGTATGTACGGACATGTACAGTGGGTTTAAGGAGGGAAAAAAAAGATTTATTTATTAATTTTTGTTATAGGGAAATGATGCAATTGAAATAGAAAGAAATAGAGGCTCTATAAGATTCAGTTAAATCATTATCATTAAGATAGTAATTCAACTTAAAAGCAATTGTTTATTAATAGTTAATCATAATTATAACATACCCATAATCTTCTTCTTCCATTTCATTAATCGTCATTGATGGTGACTCGAAATTACTGGCCCTCACAAAAAAGAGTTACAATTTTACTTTATTGAACTACCTATGATAGCGAGATTGTATATAAATGCAGTCATTAATTTATTGACTTGAATTTTATGAACTCGAATAAACAAGTATATGTAAATATCATTTTGTCTAATATATTATTGTGAGTGTGGTTCAAGCATGTTTATGAACTTTTGTGCTAATTTTACAGAAAAATAATAGGATCTTCGTATGTAAGATATTCAATATCATAGAAAGGTGTTGGAACTATAAATTTATGTATTATATAAAATGTAGAATTTAATGAAAATATTATTTTTTATTATTGTTAGTGTTGTGATCAAGTTTGTGCACATTTGTACTAATTTTACAGAGAGACTATAGGATCTAGGTAAGATATTAATGCCATAGGGAGGTGTCCACATACCTGTTGAGTTTAATGTAAGTATCATTTTTCTTACAACTGTGAGTGTCTTGACCAAATTTATATGTATATTTGAACAAATTTTATAGAAAAATAATTAGATCATATGTAAGATATTCAATTTTATAGGGAGGTATCCACCATGATTTAACCGAATAAGGGCCAATGACACATGCATTTACAATGTTTTTTTTTTGAATTAAACTAACTCAAGGAGGTTTAGAATTCAATGTAAAATAATCATGTTACATCAATGATATGACCCTAAGAAATAATAGTTTAATTGAAAAAAAGGGCAAGCCTATCTTTCTTTTTGCAAAAAGCTTTCATAGATTGAATTGAATTAGAAAGGTGTCATTATTCAACATTCTCATCAATAAATGTTATACTATATAGTACTTGAACTAAAAAAATGTTACTGAAAAAAAAACACCATATCCAACCCTAATCTACGGGGCTCTTTTATTTTATCTATATACATACATACAAATAATAATCCAATATATGTGTAATTAATAATGTTATCTTTGAAAACACTTAATTAGAAAAGAAAAGTTACATTATTATTGTTAATGCCGATTTCTAAGCAAGTGCTATTGAGCTACCACATACGTCTTTGTCTCCTAGCTTTCGGTTATTTGTACACAGAAATGAAGCACCTGAGTGGTATTCTGCTGAATGCACTCACATACTTAAGTTAAAACTAAAGATAAGAGCAAACGAGTATGGAGCAAGTAGAGTAGAGAGAGAGTGATATCGTGACTGAGAGTTTACTTGAGAGCTTGGGATGAATTCTCACAAGGAAGTTGTGTAAGCAAAGTCGACTTACCCGAATTAGGGTTTCCTTCCCCTATAGGTGGGAGATAGAGAGAGGGAGACAGGAAAGACAAGCAGTGGGAGTGTGGGGACCCCTCCCATATTTCGTGTCCTTCCTTGCCATTCCCAGAGTCGTGCGGCGATGTCTAGGGTATTGTATGCTCCTGATATCGTGACAGGCGCTTGATAACTCTCTATAAGAAAGTTATTTTGATATTATTTTAGAAGCATTTGTTGTATTTTTTAGGACCCTAAACTCAGGTTTGCATATCTATTTATTGCTCATTTACTGTGATCATGAGAATTAGCCTTATGTGAGTGTGGTTTTCGAAAGTATTCAAAAAACTCACTCATTTTAAGCATTTTGGGTCAAATTTAAGCATTGTTGGAGTGCTACGGACTTTTGGAATTCTAGACAATTTTTCCAATTAGCATGCTGGGTGAGTTTGTTTGCACTTCTAACCACAATGGGGGCATTAGTATAGTGCACTCAGAACTTTTCCCTTCTAGTGCGCTCTACCCTACCTGCTCTGTATGTTGATGAAGCTCGACGTGTTCTCACAAGGAAGTTTCACATGGTGCTCATAGATTCTCCTCAATGCTATGACCCTGAGGTACTACATACGTCTTCGTCTCTTAGCTCTAGGTTACTTGCACATAGAAATAAGGCACCCGAATGGTATTCTACTGAATGCACTCAGATACTTAAGTTAAAACTAAAGATGAGAGCAAATGAGTATAGATCAAGTAGAGTAGAGGTGTAGTAATATCATGGGCCAGAGTTTACTTGAGAGCTTGTGCCGAATTCTTACAAGGAAGTTGTGTAAGCAAAGTCGACCTACCTGAATTAGGGTTTCCTTTCTCTTCATATATGTGGGAGATCATAGAGAGAGGGAGACAGGAAAAACAACCAATCAAGAGTATAGGGATCCCTCCCGACATTTCTTGTCCTTTCCTTGTCATTCCCAAAGTTGTGTGACGGTGTCTGGGGTATGGTATGCTCCTGAAACCGTGATAGGCGCCTGATAACTCTCTGTAAGAGAGTTATTTTTGTATTATTCTATAAGGATTTGTTGTATTTTTTAGGACCCTAAACTCAAGTTTGCATGTCTATTTAATGCTCATTTATTGTGATCATGAGAATTAGCCTTATTTTAGTGTTGTTTTCGAAAGTATACAAAAACTCACTCATTTTAACTATTTTGGATCAGATTTAAGCATTCGTGAAGCAATAAGGACTTTCGAAGTCCGCCGAAGATTTTTTCCAATTTAGCACCCGCTTGATGAGTTTGTCTGCACTTCTACCTGCAACGGAGCATATTAGTATAGTGCGCTCAACTTTTTCCTTCTAGTCCACTCTGACCACCTGTTTCGTAGGTCGATGAAGCTCAGACGTGTTCTCACAAGGGAGTTTCACATGGCGCTCCATAGATTATTCTCGTCAACAATTATCATTGTTGTTTTATATAGACTTTTTCTTATAAACCATGTTGTTTAAATTCATTTTTAAGATGATTAGAGTAGGGGTATTTGATAGGTTTTAATGTTTTTAATTATGAGTTAGTAGGTTTTACTTTATTAAGGGTGACTAGATGGCTTACAAATGGATGAATTAAATTAATTATTGGGAAAAAAATTCTACTTGCTTAAGGTCAAAGAACACCTACCACTTACAAAATATGTGCATAAACTACTAGCCTAATGTATGTGGGAAATAAAAGAAACATTTCAATTTACATATATAGAAACTAATAAATAATTAAAAATTGATTGTCTCAAATAGTCAATAATTGTTACCTGATAGTGATGGAAGTTAGGACTTCATACTTATCCAACAAGTAACGAGTGCAAACAAAGCAAAGTCGTGAGGTTATGTCCAAAATGGGAAGATGCTAAAAAAAATGTATATGTGAGAAGAACAACATCGATTCTTTTTTGGTAGAACTAAAAGTAAAGTCGGGAGGTTATATTCAAAACGGACAATATCGTACTATTATGTGAATAATATAGAGAACCGCTTGTCCGATGGACTCCCAACAATACATATACCATTCAAATGGAAATGAAAAATATCAGATAATCAAAATATACATGTCTTTAAACTTAACTTATTAATTTTGAATCTAGAAATTTGTAATTAAATGTAATTCTATCATTAATCACACTATTGAATATTTTTTATTTCCAAAAACCATATGCTACATATAAATGGGAGATTGGAAGCCTACTTTCTGTATCATTTCCTTCATATAGATTTTCTTATGAACAAACTTAGCCGATCCCAATGCTACATGTGGCCCTTTCGCATAAATTTCTGATTTCTCTTTTCCAAATAACGCAACATTTTCTGTTTTAAAGTTTTCCAATTTTGCTTTTTTTAATCTTTTAGCCCTCAAACTTAATATATATAAAAAAAAATTAAAAACCCCTGACCAGTGCTTTTAAAAACTTTATAAACAGTGGAAAATAAAATTAAGAAAAAAAAAAGACTTTCTTTTTTCTTTTTTCTTTCTCTGTGTGTTTTTTTTTTCTTTCTTTTTTTCCCCTTAGCATTAAAAGTGGGTGTTGTGGTGGTTGGTCCAGTGTTTCTCTGCAATTTAATTTGCTTTATCTCCAATCTCTAGCATTTCCCAAAGCCACAAAAAATACATAAAAAAAAAAACCAATAAACAAATAAAAAATTTAGATATTACGAAAAAGACAAGAAGATATTAAAAATGAAATGAAAGCAAAAGGGCCCTCCAAAAAATAAAAATTTTAAAAACCCTAATTGTTCTTCATCATCATCATCAATTCATCATCTCTCTCTCTCTCCTTTCTTTTTAAAATTAAAACACAATTAGCTTTGTTGGAAGAAGACGTTTCCTCGTTTTTCAGCTGTTTGTATCTCTCTTTCTAATCTGACATACATCAAAATGGGTATTATTTTTATATTTCCTATCAAACATATGTTGTATTAATTCAAGCAATTATTTTTTCCCCTCTCTCTCTCTCTAAAAGAAAAAAAGGAAACTTTTTTCTCTCTCTCTTATAATCACCAACAGGGGTTGGATATTGCATCAAGTGATAAGAAAAAGGCAGAGTCAAATCAGAAGTTCCCCCTTCCTTGTTGTGATGTGCATTCTTCACAGGTACTTCCCTAACTTCAAAATTTTTATGGAAAATATATTATTTTTTTTAAGAGGTATATGTATGGATAATGAGGTGAATAAAGATGGGTATCTTTTTAATTTCTACAGTCTTTTATTTTTTATTTTTAATTATTATTTATTCCATCTCTCTCTGTGCTCTGTTTTGTATTTCTCTTTCCTCTGTGTGTTTTGTTTATTCATTTGTTTCCCCTTTTGAGTGGGGGAAGTTGCAGAAGATTTGAGTCTGACACTGCCCTTTTCCTCTCTCTCTATCTCTCCATTTTAATTAAATCTCTCAAAGATCACACTCACTCTCACAGAAGGTTTCTCTCTCTCTCTCTCCCTCTCTCTCTCTAAACATATATATATATTTGTGAAACTACCTCAATCTCTCTCTCTCTCTGAAAAGAGGGATTTTTCTCATCTGGGTTTTGGAAATTATGTGCCTTTCCTTTGCTATATTGCAGATTGATCCATGAAGCACACGTGGTTTCTCAGATTTCCCATTATACTTTGAGGTATGTTAACTAATACTATAATAAATTCTCTCTCTTCTTCTTTCGTTCTTTCTTTCTCTCTCTCTTTCTCTCTTATATATATGGAGAAACTTCTGTTTGCAGCTTTTGTTGCTTCTTCTCCAAATATGATATCTTTGGGGGTTTTGAGGGAGAGAGATGGGAAAAGCTAGTTATGGGTGCCAATAAAAATCTCTCCCTTTTTTTCCTATTTGCAGCTTCCCAAAACGATCTCTTTCATGGCTGATTCCTTTTGTTTTCTCTCCATCTCTCTTTCCTGTTGATTTTCTTCCCCATTTTCCCATCTGCCAAACAGTGTATAAATTTGGGGGTAATTAGACTTACACTCGTATATTCACTCTAAAAACTTATATATATATATATATATATATATATATATATATTTATATATCTCTGTCGGCATAGAATAATAAAGAGAGAGAAAAAAGAGAGAGATTGTTGAAGTTGTCAATTATTTTTGATAAATGACTGTGGGAGAAGCTGAAATCTTTTCTTTTGGGTGATTTTAAGTTTGAATATGAATGGGGAGAGATTGGATGTGTGGATGTGAAGCATAACTGATTTGTTAACGTACTCTCTTTTTCAGTGAAGTAAATTCCCAACAAAAAGGATAACATATTTTTCTTCGAACTTCCGGTCGGCGATGGCGACGTACCTTCATGGCAATTCTGAGTTCCAATCTGCTGATGGCGGCCTTCAGACTCTTGTTTTAATGAATCCAAGTTATGTTCAATTCTCCGATGCCCCGCCGCCTCCTCCGTCGCATCCTAATCTATTCTTCTTCAATTCTGCTGGGACTGGGTCGGGTGCTAATTCCTTCCCTACGCAGAACTTGTCTCATGGGATGTCCTCTCACACCCAGCAATTCGTCGGCATCCCACTACCTCCGGTCGGGGCATCGGCGAATTCCCCGACATCCCAGGACCACAATTCGCATTCCTTGAACACCCACCACGAGATCTCGGCGTTACATGGCTTTGGCCATCGTGTCCACCATAACATTTGGAACACAATTGATCCTTCCACGGCGGCGCGTGAGGCTGCACGCGCCCAGCAGGGCTTGTCTTTGAGCCTCTCCTCACAGCACCCACCGGGATTTGGGTCGAGAGATGTCCAACCGCAGACCCAACAGGCGGTTTCCGGCGAGGAGAACGTTCGGATCTCCGGCGGATCGTCGTCTTCTGCTTCGGGTATCACCAATGGCGTCGCTGGAATTCAGGGTGTTCTGCTCAGCTCTAAATACCTCAAGGCCGCGCAAGAACTTCTTGATGAGGTCGTTAATGTCACACAAAACGGAATTAAAAACGAATCGTCTCCTAAAAAGTCCGCCGGAAATCAAACCAAGATGATCGGAGACCCATCCGCTGCTGCCACGACTGGTGATGGTTCTCTCGAAGCAGACGTCGACGGTAAACGCGTCGCCGAGCTCACCACCGCCGAGAGACAGGAAATTCAGATGAAGAAAGCAAAACTTATAGGCATGCTTGATGAGGTACACAACAAGAAATCAAAGAATCCTTCTCTAGAAAATGCTCTGTTTCAATTCAACTCTCCTCTGTTCTTAGTTTTCTGATGCTCTGTTCTAAATTTTCTTAATTTTCTTTTCCTCTCATTTGAATTCTGTTCTTAATTGTGTTCATCTCTTTCTCAGGTGGAGCAGAGGTACAGACAGTACCACCACCAGATGCAGATTGTGATATCATCCTTCGAGCAGGCGGCCGGAGCCGGGTCAGCGAGAACCTACACCGCGCTCGCACTGCAGACGATTTCAAAGCAATTCCGGTGCCTAAAAGACGCCATCGCCGGCCAAATCCGAGCGGCGAACAAGAATTTGGGAGAAGAAGAATGCATCGGAAGAAAAATCGAAGGATCCCAGCTGAAATTTGTCGACCACCATCTCCGGCGACAGCGAGCTCTGCAGCAATTGGGTATGATCCAACACAATGCTTGGAGACCCCAGAGAGGCTTGCCGGAGAGATCCGTCTCAATTCTCCGAGCTTGGCTTTTCGAACACTTTCTCCACCCGTAAGTTCCCATTCTCTCTGATTTCACAAAATTTTTCCCATTAGAAATCGAAATCCAACTGGGTCTTTTCCAATTTCTCTCAGTTATCCCAAAGATTCAGATAAACACATGCTTGCCAAGCAAACAGGGCTCACCAGAAGCCAGGTCAGTTCAACATTCCGATCAATTCAAAACCCATTTTATAACCCATCTTCTGAATTAAATTGAAAAAATCTGATGATGCAGGTTTCGAATTGGTTTATAAATGCGAGAGTTCGACTGTGGAAGCCAATGGTGGAAGAGATGTATTTGGAGGAAATCAAGGAGCAAGAACAGAACGGCGGTGGATCAGCGCCGCCAGCGGCGGCGCCGGCGGAGGAGAAAAGCAACGACGATTCATCTTCAAAATCCATAGCTCCACCGCCGGAGACAAAAAGCCCCAATTCGAAACAAGAAAACTCCCCAAACCAAAACGTCCATCCTTCAATCTCAATCTCCACATCCGCCGGCGGAAATCCAAGAAACTCATCTGGGTTTTCCCTGATCGGACCCTCGTCAGAGCTCGACGGCATCACCCAAGGCAGCCCCAAGAAACAGAGAGGCCCAGAAATCCTCCATTCTTCAACCAACGTCCCGTTCATAAACATAAAACCCAGAGACGACGAAGAACATAATCCCCAAACCAGAGATGGGTACTCGTTTCTGGGACAAACCCATTTCAATATCGGCGGTTTCGGCCAATACCCAATCGGCGAAATCGGCAGATTCGACGCCGACCAGTTCGCTCCAAGATTCTCCGGCAATGGCGTCTCGCTGACTTTAGGCCTCCCCCACTGCGAAAATCTGTCCCTAAATGCCGCCGCCGCCGCCCACCAGAGCTTTCTCCCGAATCAGAGCATCCATTTGGGAGGACGAAGAACAGAGATCGGAAAACCCAATGATTTCGCCGCCATTAACGCCACCTCCACTCCTCACTCTTCCACTGCCTTCGAAACCATCAACATTCAAAACGGAAAAAGGTTCGCTGCCCAGTTATTGCCAGACTTTGTGGCCTAAAAAAATAAAAAATTCACCAAAAAAAATTATAAACTCAGCCATTATTATTGTCAGATTCTGGGCAACAGATCCTTTGGAGGGGTGATGTAATTGTAAGGTACTGTAAAGAAGACACGAAAAGAAAAACCAAAAAAGGGGAATTAAATAAGAAAATATTAATAGTCTAGTTTTTTTCCCCTTTTTTTTTACACTTGGCATAGAACTATATAATTTCAGTCAGTGGGTTAATTTAGAATTTAGGGTATATGAGTATATATATTTTTGGGGATTGTATATTGTTTTTTTTTTCTTTTTTTTTTAAGTTTTTAAAAATGGGTTAGAAGGATTGTTATAATTAGATCAGTTTGGCTGGTGTATCTGTTATACCCATTATATATAAAATATGAATATTGATTTCAAATATTATTTATAGATTGATGAATGAGGGTGTTTGGTTGCTGAGAAAATATTTATGTGATTCATTTCTGTTTTTGATTAATGAACATGATTTGGTTGGCTTGGCAATGGCATGAATTGAAAGTGAATCATAAAAGTGGAATTCTCTCAGTTCGAGGAGACCTTTCAATTTAATTTCTTGTGTGGTTTTTGTCGGATTAATTAATGTAACTTAGTGAAATTATATTGGATGGTCTTTCTGACATATTTTTGCTGTTTGTACAAAAATTTAACTGCTTCGTTCAAGTTTGGTTTTACAAGATTGAGAATTTTGTTTTCTTTTTTTTATTTTAATTACGTTTTTATAATATACTGCATCAAAAAGATAAGGTGAGAGTTCAAATCTTTACGATCTCGATTATTTACGGAGTTACACGAATGTGGTAGAAACTTTACTTTGGTTCTTATATTTTTAAATTTTTGCTCCATCTTTAGATGAAGTTTAGGTTTAAATACTATTTTGATCGTTATACTTTCGATTTGGTTCATTTTAGTCTTTTTTAACACATTTTTTTTCATTTTAGTCTTTGTACTTTCAAAATGTCGGTTTTAGTTATTGTATTATTAAAAAGTGACAATTTTATGTCCCTATTTGTAAAATTTTATATGCAGTGAAAATTCTTTGATACAAATTTATTACTAAATTCCAATAAATTTAGTGGGTGAAATGCTAATATTTTGATCGAAATAAATGAGATAAAAATGAAAATAAAATGATCAAAATAGTAACTTTTAATCAAGCCAACGTTTCAAAATTATTGAACTAAAACAAACAAAGTCGAGATTACCAAGATTAAAAAGTATTTAAACTTGAAGTTTATTACATGATTTTGTCACTGGTCAAAGAGAGACAAAAATTCACCATGAAAAATTAGTTACGGGTATTTAGAAAGTTCCCCATAATGAAATATTTTGTTTTAAGCTGAGAAGTCACACCATGTAATTTAGATTGAGACAATAATGAATTTTTTTAAGAGTAAAGGGACTAACTTGAAATTAACCTTAAAATATAAGGACTAAAAATACAATTTAACCAAGATAAGAATAGCATATAGGCATAGAATAGATTGTCCTTAATCTAATGTAAACCATAGTTCAGCATTCTAAAGTTTAGTCCTTTTTTATTTATTTTATTTGAAAAGAAATTACTTTTGAAAAGCCCAAGAATAAACTATCAATTCTTTCTTCAAGTTTATCCATCAAAGAGATTCTTGCAAAATATCATTAAAGTCATCTGTCTATCTAATAACAAATGGGAAGATTCTCCTTTATATATTTATATATATATATTTAATTATTATCAAAATTAAATTATTTAATAAACTTTAAAAATTAAATAAATTTTCTTTAAATAATGATTTGACCAATATTGGTAAAAGATAAATATAAAAAAAAAAAAGATTCACTCTTTTACAAATATAAGCATAAGATATATGTGTGTTCTTAAACTTTTAGACTAAATATGAGCACATAATTATTTATATATTTTGCTGTATTTACATTAGTATAGTTTATTCCCCATTTATCTTAAATTACTAAAATATACATTAGTATAATATATTTTTTTAATAAATTAGAATAAATTTAATGAATTGGACTAAAGTTCAATATTCGAAATATCTTGTTCCATAAAAGGTTACTATTTATAGGTTTATGAAATAAAAAAAATACTAAGTTCAAAAGAATATTGTATACGTAGGAGAAAAAAGATATAGTTTTATTTTGGTAAATTGGATAATTTTTTAATTACCTTTCATTTATTTTTAGCAAACTAACCTTGTTAAAAGATCTATTTTGGCTTTACCTTCTACTTTTGTTCATTTAGATCCAATACTTTCAAAACGTCTATTTTTGGTTGGTGTACTTTTAAAAATTGATGATTTATTTTCATTTTTATCTCTTTTTTTCAATTATAATTTTTACATGACACTTCACTCAATAAATTAATTGAAATATATCCATAAATTTTTAGTAAACCTCTGTGTATATAATTTGTATTGAAATTTTGCAAGCAATCAAATGGTTCACATTTTTTAAAGTATGGATATCAAAATAAACCAAAGTTAAAAGTATAGGGACCAAAATAGTATTTAAACTAAAAAAAAGAATATAAAAATCATACATAACCACAAAACTATAAAATCTCTAAGTTAAAATATGATTGACATGAAATATATTAGTAAATTATTGACATCAAAGGTACTATTCAATCTGAGTTTGAATCCTGTAAAGAAATGGCATATCTTTGAAATTTAAGATAAGATCCAACATCTTCAATTTGTATAGAAAATGGTGATTGCCAATTATAGCCCAAAGTTGAAGGGCCCAAATTATAAGATCCAACATATTCAATTAACATGTGGCCTATGATTCATCTCAATCTACAAAAACTTCTTTTAAAAAAAAAAAAAAAAGGTCTTTAATGAGTCACATTTGAAGTGATATTTCACAGATGTCTATTTTTATTAATATTTATACTTGTAGGATTTCTATCATTAAATTATTACTTTTTGTCCCCAAAAATATCCAAGTTAGACTCTCCCTATTATATTTAATTTTTTCCTTTCCAAGTGAATGAGTGGTCATTTAACACATATATTTACCTTTATTAATAAATTATTATGTGTAAAATATTTATTTAACAAATAAAGAAAAGTTTTCATTGCAGGGGTTGTTTTTCCAATTTTCCCCGGTATGTTATTTTTTCCACTGATATTCTTTATTGTGGTGGCTTTCTCAGAGTGTGAACCTCGTGTTCATCAAATCTTTTCATTCTTGAAGATAGTTTTTTTTTAATACAAAAAATAGGAATGGAATATTCAAACTCATGATTTTTTAATCAAATATATGTACTATTTACCATTGAGATAAGTTCATGTTGACTATAGTAACGAAAGGGAGACTTTCCAAAAAATTGTGTACATTATGGTATCATAGCATTGACTCTCTCTCTCTTTCATTTTTCTTTTTCGTTTTCAAGGCAATGCTTCCCTCTACAATCCAACCTGTTGCTCCAACGATTGGGACTTCTTCGTTGCTCATGTTGCTCCGGTGTCTAAAGGTTCTTCTTTGTTGAATCAGCATATATCCAACATATACTGACTAGAAATTGAGTATTTTCCGACTATTTTGTAAGGAGAAGACGAAAAGAGGGGCGTCGTCATCTTCTACCCGAACGACAATAGAGGTGGTGGTGTCCTGAAAGCAGCAGATGGAAAGAGAAAATCCCATTGATAGCAGACGAGAGAGGGAGGAAGAGAGAAAGAGAGGGGCAGAGGAAGAGAGAGATTAAGGTGTTGTAATTTTATTGATCAATTTTAATGATCTTTCCACGATTTTTTCAATTTATACAGTAATTTTAAATATCTCTTTAGTTCCCAAAAAAAAATATCGCAGTATTGTTTGTGATTATATGCTTGTCGATTAGCAGAATAAACAATGAAAGACTTTGTATAGTCTAAGAAGAATAATGAACACCAAGATTTATAGTGGTTCGGTCTTAGCGACCTACTCCACTTGCAAAGGTCATAAGGACTTTATTAGTCAATATTATTTGTTGGGAATATGTGTTGTGTCTACACAACCGTGTTAACAATACGTGCAAGTATACACGAAATTATCGATTGTAGCACGAAACGAGGTCGAATCCACAAGGATTTTGGATAATATTTTAAACGATGTTGCAGATACCAAAAGTGTAAAATAAAGAAATATAGATGTGGTGTCGTAACTTAAACAAATAAAATGAACAAAGCAGTAAACAAATCTCAGCAGCAGACACACTTCGTAGAGCTGGCACATAATGCGAAAAGGGGAAGTTAATAGATATAGAAAAGTGGGGGAGATTCAACATGCTTTCACAGACTTCTCAACCTACCCTCTAGCTTACAAATATTCGTTAATGCCCAACTCGACTTGGTTTCCTTCCGAGACACCCGAACATGGATACTCACAACTCTCATTGCTAAGTTTCCAAGCAATAAAAACAAGTTCAAGGCATGATTAGGGGACCACATTCCTGAGAGTCCACAAATAGTATAGAAAAATACTAATCACTAATGAAGCAAGTCAGCAAACCATAAGCCCTCCTGGATCAATACAAAAGCTAGCATACAGAACAAAGTGGCCAACAATGCTCGATAAGATATAAGAAATAAACACAGCTTCATTAAAAAACGAATATAGCAGCTAGAGGTACAGTTCATAGCAGTTACAATATGTGAATCTCCCTCGAAATGAGGTTTAGCTCATAAATGAAGAAGAAAATACAATGGGTAACAGAAGAAGACAACCAATCTTAGGGAATAGCAGAAAAACCGAAGAAGAAGAAGATGACAGCTCGAAATTGCAGCGGAATATCCCTTCTGTCATCAGCTTTTTGCCCCCGAAAATAGAGAGAATCCTCTTCCTTGTCGTTTCAGCTCTAAAAAACGTGCTTCCTTTTGCAATATGTGTATGGTGACTAGGACAACATACCCCTTTCATATCGGGTTCATTTTTAGGGCATCCAGCTGAAATTTGTACGGATACGGTAAATCCCGTGTCTGAACTGTTGTTACGCAGTGAATCTATGCTCTGCTCTGTCTTGAAATTGTCTTGCTCACTCTTTTCTGGATTTAGCACTCTCTTTATGTTTAGTCTTCTGCTTCCAAACCTGTGCATTTACACCAGAAATACGAGCATTTAGTGCAATATTTAGCTACAACATTCAATACCTGAGCTTTTAGCTCGGATTCCAATTTCTAATCTCCTCTAGGCTAATTAAGAACTAAAACCGACACACGTTGACAATTCTTTGTATAAAATCACCAAAATATACACTTGAATAACCCTCTTCTCGAGAGTTATCAATATACAACCAAAGCCCTATATTGCCGTCGAAAGTGAGCATAGCTCAGCGGTAATTGACATATATCTCCAACCAACAAGGAGAAGATCATGGCTCTAAAAAAAATTATCTCGATA